CGGGTTTGCGCCGGCCCGGAGGCGCCCTCTGGGGACGCGATCGCCGCGGCGGACCCTTGCCCTCCCACTTGAGTTAGGGTTCATTTCTTAATCGGGCGCGTACGTGGAGGGCGCCTGTCGAGCCCGTCTCCTGTTCTCACCCTAGCCCCGTCGGCGTTCTGCTCTGAGTTGCATCAGATTCTTGATTATCCTTGCCAGTAGGTGCTGGAAGGCAGGATAACGACGGTGTGAATAGTAATTCAGGATAGTTCCCCTCGCCCTTAAGATCACTGCGGGACGGCTTAATCTGATGAAGTTAGTGCTCTGTCCATCCCCCTCTTCCAAGATCTTGCCCAGGAAGGAATTAGGAAGATACGTGAAAGAAGAGCTAATGGCTTGTCTGTTAATTTTACAAACGGATAATAAGTACCTGAATAAAGTGGACCAGCGTCCCCACATTTCTCTGTGTATCTGTACTAAACTGATTTTGAGGTCGAACTTTTAGCAGGCAAAGCACGGCTTCCTAGTTGTATGTTCTTACACAGCTCTTATTTTAAAAATGAAGTTTTATGGAAAGCATAAATGAATTTTATAAAACAGCACATGAATCACCAAAGTAAAATCGATACGGTGCTACTTGCCAAATAAAGATCTTCCTCTGACCAAGGGTATTTTATATGCAAGCTAGGTTCAATTTAATTAAAAAGGTGTTTTGACGTTATCAAAAATACCTGTGAAAAATACCTGACGTTATAAAAAATACCATTTCCTTGTATGTCTGTCTCTAATGAAAGGGTTGAACGTATTGGTCCTTCACCCAAATGCCAGAACTGTGACCGGTAATGTCACCATGTACTACTTAAGGTCCCTTCATCCTGGAGGAAATGTAATTAACCCTTCAGATGGTAACTCCTAGCACCCGACTGCATGTGATTATCTTAACAGCAGGTGCTGTGAGCAGAGTATTTGGAGAGACTTCCCTCTTTCATCCGTACCTTTCCAGAGTTTACAGCCTTTTAAAATCTCATAGAAGTGTAAGAACTAGAAAGTCATAAAAACACTTTTCTGTTGAAAGTTTTTCCTCCAGTACCTCGTCCCTCTTCCTCAGCCTGATCGTAAATGGGAGAAGAATTTGAAATCCCCCACTTTCCCCATACTCAAAAACACAGGTCCAGACAAGGGATGTGATTTTGTCTCCTAATTCCTTAGGCAGTTAGTGTGGGGGTCTAGGGTTGATCTGGAAGAAGTGTGCTTTGTTTATGTATTTGTTTTTCTGGATCAAGATTCCATTATTTTCAGCATATTCCCAAAGGCGTTGTTGTCACTGAAAAAGGGTTAAGGACCACTAACATAATGACATAGATAAGGGAGGGACTGAGCTTTCTCAACTTTGTAGTTTTACTCTGTAGCTTTGTTTTTTTTTTTAGGTTACTTGGAGTATACTTTTATTTTCCTACTAAAATGAATTTAGATAGTCATGTGGTATGTGCAGAATTCCCAATTTTTTTCACAAAATGCTTTATTTTTTTCCTTTTAAACCAATTTTGCCTTATATTCAGATATTCTGGAAATGCCTACAGCATTAGAACTTCATTCTAGCCAGGTATGGTGGCACAGGTCCGTCATTCCATCCCTTGGAAGGCTGAGGCAAGAGGATTGCCCCAAGTTCCAGGCTACATCGTGAGTTTAAGGCCAGCCTGAACTACATAGCAAGACCCAGTCTCAAAAAAAAAAAA